TGGTGCCCGCAGGTGGAGACCCCCCGCGGCCCCATCCCAACTAAGACCAGTAGGTTTAAGGACATAAAACCTTTCTCTGTATCACGGTAGATGCTGCTAGGACCTGAATTGTTATCCTTAGCAGTCATGGCATCACTAGCCCAAGACCCTCTCCCGAACTGTTCTCCCATTAGGCACAGCACTGAAGCGGTGGCCTGACACCATGAGGGCCTTTTTCAAATTTGCCAGGGTGGTCTCTGCTCTGCCCAGCGAAGCCTCCCACCCTTTCTTGTGTGGCCCTATGCCAGGGACTGGCTGTCAGACCCTGAAAAGTGACAAAGCCAAGGAACTGTCTGTCCCAGGAACCAAGCTGTTTTTGAGCCCCCTTTCTGCTGCCAGGGTGTGGTGAGGAAGCAGAGAACTTCCTTCTCACCAGCTGTAAAGATGTCATGCTGGTACCAGCATTTGCAGACCTATGATGGCGTCTGTCTTGTCTCTTTCTCATTTCAGACAATTTAATCCTCATATACATCGCAGTGGGAGTGATCTGTGCTGTGCTGGCCCTGCTGGTGGTTGCTATTCTCTACCTCATCCGGACAAAACAGAGCAAAGGTAAGGAAATAGTGTGGCAGGGAAAGCAGCTGCTTCCTACCTGCTTATTCCTCCAAGTGTCAGTGCTTTGAGGCATGGCAGTGGTAGTGCAGCGCCTGGAGAAAGGGGAGAGCAGAGCAGGATTGAACAGGTTATTTGCAAACTGCTGGGGAAACCTCTGCCTGGTGCTGCCACATGCCGATTCCTTTGGAATTTGCTTTGCTGGGCTCTGACACCTGAGAAACCTGAACAGGCCCACAAATTCAGGTTGGCTTCAGCAAACCAGAATCGCACTCATTCTTCAAGACTGACTTTCTCTGTCACTGTCTGTGTTGCTCTGCCAGGCCTTAATCTCTAACTGTTCATGCCCCAAGCTGTGGCAGCACCCTCAGATGTAGCAGCGTTTCTTTCCCACTAAGCTCAAATTGGTGCTGTTCACCATGAAGAAGGGCTTCCCAGAGTTTCTGGAAGGTCCTAACTGGCTATGTGTTGGGTTCTTGCCGCTAAGGCTACTGCTTTCTTCTGCAGCACAGCCAGGGTCTTCAGGTTTCCTCACACCTAATCCTGAGGAGGAGGGGGTGAAGTGGTTGGCAGGAGCAGGAAGGATGCCAGGAACGAGTGTCTCTACTCTCTGCTTTGTCCTAGAGCCTCCTAGGTCTGAACGTTTTCAAGAGTAGTAGGAAGGAAATCATAAAATTTAATCCCATTGAGGACTTTTGATGTCTCAGAGCTCTGATACTGCCAGGACCAGCCTCCTGGCCTGCTCCTGTACTTGTTCAACTAGGCTACCAGGAACAGTGTCAAATATGCTCTTTATTCCTTGTGTCCAAGATCTACCTAAAACATCGGGCACCACCCTAGATCCCCTTTTTATGGTAGGGGACAGTTCTGCAATAAATGAAACGAAATTTCAGAAAAATGCCTCTGGAAAAGCATGTGCATCTGCTTTTGCAGCAGTCAGTGCATGGGCTCACAAGCCTCAGGGTACTTGGGGGTTACTTTGTTTCCTAAACTATTTCTCTTTTGGCAGGTAAAAGCTCCCCATCTGTTAGGTAAGTGCTGATTTCTATATTCACCAAATCAATGAATCATCTGAGGGTGTTGTGAGCTGGACATCTCCAGCGTGGAAGCAGGAGCACTTTGGGATCAGGGCTGAGCAAGGGGTCCAGCTAATGTCACTGTGTAACTGCTTCCTTGGCAGTGTGGCCTGTTCCCCAGGCAGCTCTCCAGAGTACTGGCTTCTTGAGGTCCTTTCTTGTGCTTGGACAAGGTCACAGGTGGGAGGAGAGGGTGTTTCCTCATGGCCAGCAGAGCTGGATCCCAAAACCTGTTGTGACAGGGGAGGTGGGAGCCCAGGCTTGTAGGGGGATAAAGCATGTGGGAGTCATCTCCCACTAGAAGACCTGCAGCTTCTGCTCTGGCAGCTGATTTCCCAGGAAGCTGTTCCATTCTAGCGCCACTGAACTCTGCAAGACCAATAACTGAGCCTCCATCTTCCCTGCTCACTAAGTGACCTCACACCCAAGTGCTAAGCTTTTGGTGAGGCTGAACAAATAGAAGGGAGCAAGTCCCCAGCCTGTAGAAATGTGGCTGTAGAGAAGGAGACGAGCTGAGTGAGTGAATGCTCTCTGGTGACAACACATCCCACTCAGCTGAGGGGCACTGTTAAAGGACCTTGTTTTGCATCTGAATCAGGGCTGGGAACTGTCTCCCAGCTGCTCTGTCACTAGTAAAGAGGCAATAGGGTACTTCATTGGTCTAATTTGTTTTTGTTTTCCCTTTCCAGGTTACATGAACCAGAGAAGAGTAGTGGGGCAGCTACCCAGGTGTGTGGCTTAACTCTTGGAATTGGGGAGGGGAGAATAACCAGGAAAATACCAGATGCTGGAGCAGAACCTAGCAGTTCCTGCATGAAACATTTAAGCTGTTCCTCAGCCACAGCTAGGTGACAGAGGAACAACTACCCCTGGGGATGGGGGTAGCTACTTCCTTGTACCTCTTCGGCCTTTACCTCTTCTCTTTCTCCCAGGAAAGTCTGGGTTTATTATGACCAGAACCAGCTGTGCAGTAGCCAGGGGAAGCTATTTGTGGGATTGTTTTGCATTTGGTGACGCAGTTATGAGAAATGTTGTGATCAGCAGCAATCTGTCCATCCCATCCAGCCTCTGCCATACAAGCAGTATGCAGCTGCTCTTGCTGGGCAGGCCTCACCAGTTCCTGAGAGTGGCCTAGACTGTGGTGGCATCCCTAAGGGCACTCACAGAATAACGGTGGTGACAGCAATGGGGCCCTCACCGGGCAATGAACTGCAGAATCTGGGTGTCCTCTGGGCCTCATCTGCCTGGAGGCACCTCTGTAAGATTCTGGCTAGTGGTTCCTGTTAGCTCTAAACTGCTAAAGTGGCCATTGTTGCCACTGGACAGCGTAATGTGTTGAAAGCGTAGCATGGGGTGAAGTACTGCTGCCAGATCGTTCCAGCTTGCTGCTAGCGTCCTTTCCATTTCACAAGTAGAGAAACCAAGTTGTCCTGGGTTGAGCTGAAGTGGAATCAGACTCTTCTGAGTGGAGACTTGGGATGGCACGTGTGGTGGGGATGATGAAATTTTATTTACTCTTTAGAACTCTTGTTATCTTGCACAGGAGTCTGATCCCAACAACCTGACCTATGCAGACCTGAACTTTGAAAAAGAAAAGAAGAGTATCCGCCGGATCATTGAGATGAGTCAGCAATCAGAGTATGCCTGCATCCAGACCAGCCAAGCCCCTGCCACTGATGACACCCTCACCTATGCTGACCTAGACATGGTCCATCTCAGCAAGGCACCCAAGAGACCTGCCCCTCGCCCTGAGGAAGCTGGCTCAGAGTATGCCAGTGTCCAGATCCAGAGAAAGTGAGCAGGGCTGCAGCTGGCTGGGGTTCATGGGGGTGTTGGTGATATGCAATGGGACCCTGCCTTGTGGGGAGCAGCCCTGGTCCTCCACGGATGAATTTTGACAGAGGCACTGAGTGAGAGCACTGTGGAGATGTATGTTGAGCTATGTTACCTGTGTTTTGGCATGGAAATGCTGTCTGCAGCGCTGGGAGGCTACTGCAGCCCATTGCAGCTGCATCATCAGCTGGGAGTTTGCACCCCTTGCACAAAGACCCTGACTTTGAATTACAACTCGGAGGGCAGCTTGGTCACTGGACTGCTAATTCTTTCTCTTTGTGATCCCTTACATGGCTGAGGAGGCTGCTCAGCCTCAGTGCACTGGGTTTGATTGCAAGTATGTTGACTGGAGCATCTTTTCAGCTATCCTCTCTTGACCAAGGCCCACATCTCCTGGGAGAAACGGAGCTCTCTGCAGCTTGTCAGGAAGCTTGAGCTATGCTGAGGGGACCCAGGTACTCTGCTTCAAACCGGCCCTCTGAAGGAAAAGGGGCTGCTGTGGGATATGAGCCGCGGCAGTGCTCTGCATTGCTGTGTGAGGCTGCGGAGTGTCTGGCTGCCTGGGTGTCAGTAACCTGCCTGGCAGGAGACACTGCTGCTTGGCCAGGCTTGTCATGACTTCCCACAGTGATCCTGTCCCCAGCAGGTCTCTGCTGGGGATCCAGCGCTACGTCTCCTGGGGCTCTCCTGCCACTTGTTCTGGGGAAGCACAGTGTGTGGAACACAGTAACTATGGTTTTAAAAGAAGGATGCAAGTGTCCACCTGTCTATCTTCGTAAGTGTCTCTTCTGTGGAACCTCACTCTCACTAAGGCCAATAAAACCCTTAAGCTGGTAAGGCTTGCGAGAAGGCTACAGTTTTACTGGCTCTCCCTTGTAACGCCATCCAAGAAGGCTCTTGAGGAGCACAGTCCTCCCAGGGCACAGGCTTTCCCTCCCATGCTGCTGGAGTCCCAGGCTGGACAGCACCCAAACAAGGACTGCAGCTCCCAGGCTCACATCTCTGGCACAGTGTGTCCTTCTCGTGAGAGCTTTCTCCCTAACTGGGACAAACCAGCCTTTTCCTGGGCTTGTACAAGGAGTCCAGCTCCCCTTTGCTTCTGAGCACCAGCTGAACTGGTCCTTAGGTGCCTTCAGCACCTCCTTTTAGCCAGCCCCATGTCCCCTGCCCCCATCCTGTTCTCATTCATGAGGAGAGCATGTGGGAACAGAAAGGAGCCTGGATCCCAAAAGGGAAGGGTTTCTCACAGATAGCATATAACATGTTTTGACTGTTTGACATGTAACTGTTAATTTTTAGAGCTAAAAACCACTGTTTTGTGTGTTGTATGTGGGTGTACTGCTGTGTACTTAGCACTAGGGTAAAATGTGCAAAAATAAGATCAAGGCCTCAGTAAAGGGCCCCTAAACCCCTTAGAGTTTTGGAGTCTTATGCAGCCTTCTCTGACCTCTGCTGGAGTGGTGGCAGGCCAGGGCCAAGAGGGCCTGGCAGGGTCCCTCCAGTGCGACCTGCAGCACGTGCGGAGAGGTGTCTTCCATGTCTCCCGACTGAGCGCCTCTGACTCAGCTTGTTCCTCCTTCCCTGAGGACAGAGTGAGCGCGTAGGGCCAGGCGGCACCTCGGGGGCTGCGCCACCTCCTTGCAGTGTCCGCGTGCCCTCGGTGCCGGCAGCAGGTGGGGTGTCGCTTCCCCCCGCACGCTCTTCTGTGGGCAGGGGGCCGGGGCTGTCCCAGAGGTACGGTGACGCTTTGAAAGCGATGTGACTACTTGTACAGACCGCAGTTTTGTTTGTTTTTTTTTTTTGGCTTGCAAGATATTTTTGTAATAAAAGTGAAAAGTCCTATGCCGCTCCTGTGCATCAGAGCGTCCCCTGCCACGTGCTCAGGGCTGTTGGCTTGTCACCTGCCCTTCCTCACCA